GGTAAGTGAGAAAATTCAACATGCATCTAATTGACATATTAAAAGTACATAGAAAGAGAATAGGAGTACAGAAGTATTCAAGAAGATACTGACTGAGAATTTTCCAGAAATATTAAAGACATTTTTCCATGAATCAGAAATCTATGCCTAACCACATCTTAGTGAAACTTTAGAATGTCAAAGACAAAAAACAACATTAAGAACAGACAAAAGAAAACATTACATACAGGCTGAAAGATGTATTACAAACATAGGAGTGAAAGTTAACTGGCAGGTTCTTCTTACAAACCATACTAGGTACTAAATAACAGTAGGGTGACACCCTCAATATGCTGAAAGAAAAGTGAATCTTACCCAGAATCACAAATAAAGTAACTCAATACAAACACTCAGTAGCAAGAAGAAATGAAGAGCAAAGAAAATAGTAAACCTGTGGTTAATTCTAGACAAACAGTAGCTACCTTAAAAAAAATATTGTTTTAAAAGTTGCTAAACATTATTAAAAATATTCACATTCCACTGCCACCCTAAAGGAGGAAATGCAAGACTTACAGAAGGATGTTCCTTCAGAAGGAAGTAGCACTAAAAGCAGTCTGAATCAAGATGAGTGTGAAAATATCCCAATAAGCACATTTTGGATATAAAAAAAATCATATTTAAATTGACAATGTGTATTCAAAGATCCTCTTCTCATTCAGGAGGAGATTAAGCTATTTCACTTTATATTTTGTTTGAATTCATGTCATAGAAGTTCCAAGACAACTACTAAAATAGCAAAAAGTATATTAACATAGAAAGTCAACAAAATTGAATGATGAAGAGAAAAGAAAGCAAATTAATTCAAAAGAAGGAAGGTGGGAAGAGGGGGAGGAGGTGTGTAGAAGAAAGAGCATAGAAAATTTAGGACATATAGAAGATGTAAAATAAATATTTAGGAAGTAATTCAAGTTTACCAGTGATCAAAATCAACCCAATAAGTTTTGCAGACCAAAGTTTTAAATGACCTGTATACTATCAATAAATATTTAAAACTTTAAAAGTTGGAAAGTAAAATAATTTTTAAAGTTCCCATGGGAATAAAAAAGAAAAATACAGGCAAAATAAATTACCTTTTATGTACAGAAACTGGTGAGGGTAAATTGTTAATCGCAGGCATATATTAAACAAATAAACAAAAAACTCATGTAGATATTTAATATATGGGGGAAGGTGAACTTTGAAACCAAAGAAACAGTTACTAGGATAAAAAGCATTATTTCATGGTCGTGTTCATTTCATCACAATTTAAACATTTTCAGCTTCTATATTCTCTACTTAATGCATAGCCTCAAAATGATAGAAACTCAAGGAGAATTATTAGGAAAATTGGTGTTCTTATTATCAGGGAATATTAATGCCTCTCACTCATTGGCAAGCCAGATAGACAAAAAGATTCTGTATGGATGGAGAGATTTGACAACACACTTGACAAGCCTCGTCTAATGAACTTCAAAAGGACACTCCATCTAAAGAGTGCAGGATTTACATCCTTTTTTAAGAACACATGGAACAATAATAAAAACTTATTACCTGCAAGGCCACAAAACAAGCCTCACAAATTTCAAGTCATTAGATATTATAGAGAGCACATCTTTTTATCCACAATACAAACAAGATAAAATCAATACTCAAAGAGATAACCAGGAAAACCAATAATTTTGCTAAATTAAAACACACTTTTCAGAAGTTCATGTGTCCAAAGGAACTCATGATGAAAATTGGAATATATTTGAAATTAAGGAGTGACCCAAACACTATATATCGTAATTTGTGGGATAGCATTTAAGTTGTGACTAAAGTACTTAGCTTTAAAACAATTTTATCAAAAAGTAAGAAAGTCTAAAGGATAATAATTTGAGTATCATACTTAAGAAGTTAAAAAAATGAAACAGAATAAACCCCCCAAAAGGCAGAAAAAAAGAGGAAATTATTAAATTGCAAACAAAGATTGATGAATCCTGAGTGTTTTTTTTTAAATAATAAAACTTACCATCTGTAACAATTTTTAGGTAACAGAAAGAGATGAAACATAAAGCAATAGCAAAAAGGGGAACATAACACAGATGAAAAAGAAAATCAAAGAATGTCATAACCAGAATCATATCAATAAAATTCAAAACGTTTTCTAAACCGGCTGACATCAAAAAGAATGGAAATAAGCCAATCCCCCCAAAAACCAAAGGCTGAATGTTTTCTCTGAGATGAGGATGCTAATTCACAATAAGGGTGGGAGCTATGGAAGAAGAGTGTTACTTTAGATTAGGTAGAAGAGAGTAAAGGGAGGGGAGGGGATCTAAGGATAGGAAGGAGAGTAGAATGAAACAGACATTATAGCCTCATGTACATATACGACTGCGTGACCAATGTGATTCTGTAACATGCACAATCAGAAAAATGAAAAATTATACCCCTTTTATGTATGATATATCCAAGTGCATAAATGTGTTCTACTGCCATGTATAACTAATTAAAAAAATAAAAAATTAATTTAAAAAAAGAAAGATATCAATGACTGAAGCCTGACTCAAATAGAAAATATGTTTCTACTCCTTATAGAAACAGAATTAGTATTTAAATATTTGTACAATAAAAACACCAGGCCCAGATAACTTCATAAGTAAATTCTCCCAAACACTTAAAGGATCGACAATTTCCACATTACATAAGCTACTTCAGAGGATCAAAAAGCAGCGAGGAGAAAGGGCAGCAGCATTCTCTAACTTGGTTTATGAGGCTCTTACAATACTGACTCCAAAACCAAACAAGGATGGAGACAAGAAAATCACTGGCCAGTTTCCCTCCTGAATATAGATGCAGAAATCTAAAGCAAAAATCCTAGTAAGCTTCATCCAGTGATGTTTTTTTTAAAAAGGGTTTTGCATAATAACAAAGTTGGATTTATTCAAAGGACCAAAATGTGGGTCAATGTCAGATAATTCAATAAAGTAACTTGCTGCATTACTGAGTTTAAAAAGAAAAGCAAAATAATCATTGCAGAAAACAGAGGAGGGCAGAGACTTCCTGGGCCTAGAAAGTAAAAGAGGAAGAGAGAATATGGAAGAGGAAAAAAAAAGTCTTTTGGGGATGAAGCCAAAGCTAAGATTCATTTTGTTTCTGTAATATTAGAAAACACACCTGCCTGGTGGACATGTTCTTTGAACACTTTTCATGGGTGAAATGAATAACCAAGTCATTTTCCAGAGAGGAATTTAAAGCCCCAAAAATAAAGGGTATGTGAGATCCATTTTAGTTAAACAGTTTACCAGACTTTTCTCTCCTCAAATCAAAATCTTAGAAATGGCTCAGAGGAATAGATTTTGAAAATCATTTTTGCAACCTTCTCATTCTGCTTGCAGCCATGTATCTGAAAACACATTTAAGGTCACTTCAAACAATTTTCAGCACAAAAATGGTCCAAATTGAACCAGAGGACCAGATGGATATTTAATTTAAAAAGTAAAAAAATATGAAACTATAATATTGCAAAATCATTGAACATCATGTATACACATGATGTAGTTCACCTTTTAAGCCTCAGACCAGAATTTTCTAGGAAGATTTTCTTTCCATGTTTCTTTAAAAAATATTTAATATTATTTTAGAAGAATCTAGTTTTATATGTATAGAATCAAGTACTTGCAGCTGGATTTCAGGTAATCACAGAATACCAGTAAAAGGTATTGCTGGACTTGGGTCTTTTTTAAACTTTCTAACACCAAGCTGAGCAGCCTAGCACTGAGGCTGACAGAGTCCCTGGAATTGAGCTGATCTTCCAGGTACAACAAACCAGAGTGCGTATGACTGCATATGGGCTTCTGAGGCACACTGGAATTGCATCCATAAACTCTGGAGCTATAAACTGAGTAGAATAGATATTTAATAAACTTCAGGGCTTTTACAGGGGCTCTTGTTCTGACGAGTGTTTTCCACTTCACTGTTGTTGAATCTATTTTAAGGACAGTAAAAATTGTCAATGCACTTATGAAATAGGTTTAGAGCTTTCCACCATGTGCTTCGCTCTTTCTACTGATATTTTCTTTATGATCTGAAGGGAAATAAAGAGAAGAATAAAGCAGTGATGTGTTATTTTAAACGTCAAGTCATCCAAGTGGTACATTTAGACTGCGCAATTCTGTTGTATACATTTGGAAACATTTGCCATATTTTTAAGGAAGACACATCTGGCCACACTGCTGGTCTCTGAGGTAGATTTGGTGGATCAAACTAACTAAGGCAGAGCCCCCTGCCTCCATCAGGAATCTCCCACAGCTCTGTATATGGACAGGGGAAACCCCTCTCCTTTATGAGAAGTCATAATCTCTATCAGAATCCAACACAGTAACTACTTAAATGTAAAGGAAGAGAAGTATACATTCCAAGACTACACTAAAGAAAAACCAAATAATAGTCCCATGTGTTGAAAGCCAGAGATCAAGGAAATAATTTGAAGATTAAAACTAAAGCTTTAATCTGTAAAACAGAATATAGATGTCATTAAGGGACTAGAATAAAGATATTTAATACAAAGAATCTGATATTTAGAAAAGGTGGTTAAAAATGCAAATAATTGGATGTTATTCCACCCACCATCCCATTAACAAGTGATTTGATATATCCAACAAAGATGAAAGGCATAGTTTCTGCTCCTCAGAAGAACACTACCAAACACTTGCAAGTTTTCTGAATACTTGGTTGCCCAGCAATGCAAGGAAATGAGCTGGCCAGGTGTGCACAGAGGTTGTGGGAGTGCAAAGAAGGTGCTGCAGAATGCTGTGTGGGGAGTCAGGGGGTGTTTCACAGAAGAGAACATGAAAGCTGGATCACTGAGGATGAGGAAAAGACAGTGAGTAGTGAATTAGACGCTATGGTGCATGGAATAAATAAACCAATATCCTTCAGGCATGGTTCCCAAATATGGTGACTGGATTCATAAAGCACCTGCTTTCTCTTGTCTCTTTCAGTGTTTACGTATCCAGAAAATGGCACTGACGATTTCAAAGACCAAGCAAAGAACATAAACCACCAGGTATTTATGGAAGGCACAGAAGACAGATCAGACAAGAGCACTTAGATCAAACTGCAGGTCACCACCCAAGTGGGTCATGAAATCCATTTAGGAGGTCCCAGGATAGCATTTTTAAAGTATAAAATAGCACAATGTAGCATAATGTGCCATGGGATAGTAGTATGGATTAAATAGAAATATCACAGTGAATAAGAGGAAAACAGGATAAGTGGTGTGTAGTATCTTTTGTTTCTGTCATATATGTTATGTATGTTGACATATAGTACATGATGTGTAAATTATAGAACTATGATTATACTTTATAGTATATAAACAATTATTATATTTTATATACTTATTCATATGTATGTATATAATTATATTAAAGTAGGATAATGTGATATAAGAAAACTGAGCTTTAAATAGCAAACCAAATCATAGGTAAAAAGGGAACATATAGTTGTGTGAAATTTTCATGTTATTATATACATATATAGTATATATTTATTATTTATGTTCAAATGTAGTATGTAATTATATACCATAATATATGACTTTAACTTGTCTTTATAAAATATAAATGTCTCTATAGCATTAAAATTTGGTTAGTAATAATAGCTAATATGTATGTGACACATATAAGTCTCTTATACTCTCTAAATTGCAGACTATAAGAAAATCTACCTAACAATTCTGTGAAGGTCAGTTGTGCTGACTACCTAACAATTCTGTGAAGGTCAGTTGTGCTAATGCATATCCCATTATGCCTGGCACATAGTAAACTATCAAAATGGTACGTTTCTTAGGATTATTGCAAGATTTCAGAGGGTAGTACCTGATATAAATTGATGCCAAAATCTATCCTTTTTCCTCAAAATCAATGAGCTAATTACCAGATGAATGAACCTGGTTCCCTTTGATACACTAAACAGTAGCTCTCAACTAACTGATAGAATGTCTGTTTTAGCAAGTGAGAGTTGTTAGTTACTGCCCACAGGTCCCTCTTTCTTTAGAGAGAATATTCCCGTTCCTGGGACCAACCCTGTGACATTTTTCATGAACAACTATATCAAAGAAGACAATCATACAACTGTATCAAGGAAAAGTGTAGTATTTCTGACAATGAGTTTCCAAATAATTGTTTTCAAACTTTTTTATAAAATCTTCCTCAGTTAAACAGAATTAAAAATAAACCCAAGGCTGAGAGAAAGTCATTAATAATGGCTACCTGTTTTAACACCTAAGATCCGTACAGTGATATTACTGTGTAATAACGCCTCTATGTCCTGTTTTCTTTCTCTCCTCTCTCCAATCCTTCCTCCTTCCTTCTCTTGCTCTTCTTTCTTTTCTCTTTCAGGGACCTCTTTCCAAAGACCCATTACAGATGAACACCTACGTTGCCTTGTACAAATTTGTACCACAGGAAAATGAAGACTTGGAAATGAGGTAAAAACATTTTTTGAGAAGAGAAGTATTTAAAGTTCATGTTTTAATGTTTTTCCCTGTGAAAAATATAATCACTTTGGTGCAGTAATTCTTTTTTTTTTTTTTTTTTTTTGGTACCAGGGATTGAACTCAGGGGTGCTTAACCATTGAACTACCTCCCCAGTCTGATTGTGTTTTATTTAGAGAGAGGGTTTCACTGAGTTGCTTAGCATCTCACTTTTGCTGAGGCTGGCTTTGAACCCACGATCCTCCTAACTCAGCTTCCTGAGCTGCTGGGATTACAGGCTTGCGCCACTGCACCCAGCAGTGATTCTTAAATGTTATCATGCATCCAGTGATCTGCAGGGCTACAACACATAGATGCTGGGTCCCATTCCCAGAGGTTCTGACTCAGCAGGCCTTAGGTGGAGCTGGAGAATTTGCATCTCTAACTAATCTGCATGGTGCTGCTGGTCCAGAGACCATACTTTGAGAAGCACTGTTTTCGTATGTGTTCCACTAATGAGAGTTTTAAGGATAGTTAAGCATTAAAAGCATTGGACATCCACTGGAGTCTAATAGTGAATCAAAACAAATGCATTTAATCTACAAATTAACATTAGTGAGAGAATCAAATTGAAAGCTGTTAGTCAACTGGGACCCATACACTTTATGATCACTGCCACACTTGGGAAGGTAAGGTGACTACTGTGACCTTGACAAACACTGAACCTTTCTCCCTACCAAACCTTGAGGTTCCTGGTGTTTCAGAGGTGGTCCATCTAGAGTCAGTGTGGGGCTCACATCCTACTTACTATTTGACCTTCAGCAATTTAGAAACATTTTATTACTTTGATTTCTTTATTTATAAAAGATTAATCATGGCCTCAACCTCTTAAGGGAGTTGTGAGGCTGAATTCAAAAAAGCACATAGACACCCAGTGGTTATTACAATTTTTATAATGGGGCCTTTTCACTGGCCTATCTCCAGGAAAAGGCATTGTTCTTTCCTTCATTCATGACACTCAACCATGAGTCATCTTAGGAGAAGGCCTCTGTGTTCTCCTACATGAGAGCAGGATAGAAGAGGCTGCTTTTCTAGTCAAGTGAGCCCCTGGAGATTCATTCTTCCCTCTTCTCAAAAAAGGGGAAAAAATTTTTTTAAAAAAGAAAGATCAATTAGTACTTAAAAACTACCCAATTGCCAGAGCAATGGGGAACGCTTTCATTTGGGGGCGGACTCTGCTTGTCCAAATACCATGCAGGTCAGATTAACCCGTCACTCCCTTTAGATGGCCACAGAAGGCCTGGCCCCTCCCCTGAGCTAGCTGACATTCTACCCCTTCAAACCTGTGTCATATGGTCCCCTGCCCATCTCCCACTTTTTCCAAAGCCCCTGTAAAATTAGGAGAGAGTCACTGAAGGACAGCAATTAGACCCTGTTTTCTAGGTCCCCTATGCCATCAAGGCTCTGCAGCTCAGCTGCCCTCAGGGTGGGTACAGCAAGCGGTGAGACTCAGTAGCTGATTGATATATCCTGCCTCAGTCTAGCAACTTCCCCTGGCTCATACCCCAGGGTTAACTTTGCCTCAGTTATAGTTTGAAGTCAGCTTCCAAGTGGTTCTCTAGCCTTTCCAGAACAGAGTACAGTACTGACTCCTTAGTTCTGTTCAGACTATTAAGTTCTTATGTATCTGCATTTCCTCCATCATTGGGTAAAATTCCCATGTTGCTCCGTGGCTAGAGTTGTAAACACTACCCCACCGGTTCTGACATCATCAGGGCAGGAGGAAGGGATGGCATGTATCAAGTTGCACCCTATTCATCAGGCATATGACAAGACCATGCGTTGGAGCGGAGCATCCTAGGATTCTACTGAGATGGTGCCTTGCTACGCCAATGGTCCACCACTTACTACCTGCAGATGGACACAAGAGTGACATATATTTGCTTTGTAATAAGTAGAGCATATTGAATGCGCCTCAAGATTCATTTGGGTGCCTAAAATTTAACCACTCCCTGTTGTACCGGTCCCACTGTTTTATAGTAGAAGATTACTCTGAAGTCATCAGATTTTAAAAAAGCAATTCCAGAGAAATACAGAAAAGTTACTGGGGATACTGAGGAATGTCTGGCTTCCTAGTGGTGGTCATAACTTTGTGTGCTTATTTTAGTTGGTTGCAGGCCATTAAAAGTCAAGTTGTCTGGTCACGACTCAAACGTTTACAGTCTGCTTCAAGGCAAACAGGACTATTCATTCCCAGGAGTGAAATGTCTACATTGCATGCACTGCAAGATTGGAGGGATAAATCACACTTTTTTTTTTCCTTGAGATTACAAGTTTCCATTTTAAAAGCCAGGAACTTGATTTAGAATGTGTAAGGCAATGCTTTGGGGATTTGGTATAATTCCTTGAATGAACTGGGGCTTTGTGAATTATCTTTTTCCTCCTCAAACCATATGAGGGGAAAAATCCTTTCAATAAAATACCAGTCTTATCCACCTGCATTCTGATCTGGGGGAGCATGCTGGATCTGGTTCTCAGGAAAAAAAAAAAAAAGGAGATGAGAGTACAGGAAATGATAGAATCTGAACTAGAGGGCAAAGAAGACCTAGATGGCAAAGCCAATCAGCATAAATCCCTCATTATAAATTTTCCCAATAATAAGGGAAGTTCTTTCTACCAAAGGCCAAGGGTCCAGACCTCTCCACAGACCTCCAGACTCACCTGCCCACCTGCCTACCCAGCAATGGATAGAACAGAGCAGCTCTACCCTCCCTCCTGCAAACCTGTTCCCAAGGGCAAATAATGTCACCATGTGCCCAGGTCACAATCCAGTCAAGGAGGCATCTCCAACCTCACGCTCCAAATGTATTTGATGAGCCATTTCTACTTGACCCCTGCCTAAAATTTACAGTATCCATCCCCACCTTCACCTCTCACCTGGATTACTGTAGAAGATTCTAGCTGGTCTCTGTTTCCAGTCTTACCTGCCCCCAGCCACCCACCATGCCTTTGGGGTGGAAAGTATTCTTAGGCAATAGTACGCACAGTTCCAAGTTTCATCTGGACAAAGTGGATTCAGACTGCTGCCCCTCCTCTTTCAAACAATAGGGCATACGATCTGACTTTCTGAACCTTTACAAGATTCAGATAACAACCTCTGGTACACTGAAAACTTTAAAATGTTAATTCCAACCAGTTCTGTTTAATTCTCCAAAAAGTAGATGCTTTCTTTTCAGAATTAAGAAATGGGGGCAGTAGGGGCAGAGAATATGGCAGCATGGGTTCACTGAATGTTTGAAGATAGAAAGAGTGGGCATCAATTGGCCTGGGTTGAAGTCCTAGCCAAGCCACCTGCTCAGCTGTGTAGTCACCCATGAGACCTGGAAAAGTTACACAAGTCATTTGAGCCTCTGCTTCCTGACCTGTGAAAAAGAGGTACAAGGTGCGTTAGGGCTTCTGAGGACACTCATGTATTTGTTCCAAACTCTCCGAAGTCCTCCCATTGCCTCTGCATAAAAAAAAACAGAATATTATAGGACTTCCAGACCTCCAGTCTCATCTCTGGTGACCTCTCAGTCTCATTCACACTGACCTTTTTTTTTTTTTTCTTCCTCAAAAGGAGAGAGAACACTACCACCTGCCAAGGAACTTTTCTTCCTCCGTCTTCTTCCTTCCTGCATCTTCATATCCACCCACCATCTCCTCCATCAAACACACACCTACACACTGTGCCCCTTGACTATTATCCATCCGCTAGATCACAGCTCAGAGTTCACCTTGTTGGTACATCCCTTCCTGATACACTCAAACTAAATTAGTTTCCTCTAAAACCTACTTTTATGACACTACTTTTTTTTTTCATTCAAAGCACTTATCTCCACTTGTATTTTTATATTTCTGAAATTATTTGGGTAATCTCTAGCTCTCCTGTAAACTCCATGAGAACAATTCTGTAATTACTAACCCTTAAAACCTGGAGCATGGTTTGTTCTTGAAACCTAGCTGAGAGTAAATATTTGATGAGTGAATAAGCATTATGGAAGTGATCTGAACTCATGCTGGCCAATTAGCAGGCAAATAGAGTCCAGGGTAATATAATGGACCATTAATGGAGATGCAAAGCAAGCTAGAAGCATTAGCCAGGGTCTGTTTCCTGGAGGAGACAGTCCTTAAGCCCAGTGAATATTAGGTTTTAAGAAGAAATTGTGGAAGGGGAGACCCAAAGGACCCATGGTCCATCAATAAATATCAAAGGGTTGAAGGGAATCAGGAAGATGTCCTGCTGAGCCTTTACTGAAGCACTCAGAGTTGGGATAGGAGAGGTAGAGCCAGTTGCTACTCCCCAATTCTTAGGGCAGTGAATGCCCCTCTTTAAAGTGCTGAGGTCCATACTTAATCTCCAAGTGCTATACACAAGACAGGCTTCCCACCATCTGCTTTTCTATAGTTTCAGTGCCAAATAAAAGTCATAAATTTATTTGCTGTTGGGGCACCATTACCCACCCCAACCTTTGGAGCTGATCATGGTGATTTACTTTTTCTACCATCACAGTCTAGAGTAGGAGATAGCAAGGTGGTGGGACAGGAAAAGGCAATGTCTTGGAGTCAAATTGGCTGGCTCTGGTTTCCAGTTCTGATACTTAGTATTTGCATTAATTTGAGCAAATCTTAATCTCTCAGAGCCCTGTGTTCTCCTTCCTAGGAGACTGGGTGTTAAAAAAGATCATATAGATAAAATGTGGGATTTCATGCCCAGGATAAAATGAGATGCACAGTATATTTTAGATAACTTCTCTTCATAATTTTCATGTTTTCAGTATATCTTTATTTCACCGTCTTTTAAATAAACTCATTTACACTTCCCTAAAGACTTGGCAGAGGAAACAGTGAAACACCCTCTCTGGGCTTCCAGCACAGCCAGGGAGTCTTTATCTAATTGGTCCAGCAATAAGGAATCTGTGTGATTCCTGATACTATCCTGAGTAGGTCTTGCAGTTACTGGAATGACATGCTA